TTTGGATTGTAAAAATAATCCCATTCACATACACCAAAAAAAACATCCACTAACCTTTTCGTACACCCACAAGGAACAACTTAATTTAAAAGCAGTGATTTTTTAAAATGAAGTTGCATTTAACATTTGATTTAAAATCTTTTAAACTCCCTGCAATAACCTCCACATGATTTTTAAACCGATGTAATGCCAACCATCTCCTGAGGGAGCGTGTTGAAAACAACTCTGACGAGGGATTTGTCTTCCCTCGCAGGTTTAATTTCGCTTCTGCTCCCATTTTTTGTGTGTTTTACGAGCCGTCCTGACAGCGATTCTCATGCTGCCTGGAATCACAGTCCTGGTTTTAATGTACTATAAGTCATATTCATCTCCGTATTGTCGTCCTCCCCCGCCTCATTCATAGCGGCTGACAAAGCAAGCTAATTTTCACAGCGCGTCAGTGGTTATAAAGCAGCCAAACAGCCCCTGCAGTGTCACAGCCAACAGACGAGCCCGTTTGGTGCTGCTGTGGTTCTGACCTGAAAACAAAAGGGATGATTTTCAAGAATGGGAGACATTCTTGAAAATCAACGGCTGCCACCTTCATGATGATAGTTCTTTATACTTCAGAGCTTAGGAGGGTATATTTTAAAGTGATGTGAAAGTTTACTTTGCCTTTCTGTACAGAACTTTAGAGCTGTGTCGCTGTTATGTTCAGAATATCTGAAAGGTCGATTCACATAAGTTATTTAAGATAAAGAAACAAAGAAACGCTCAAATAAATACATTTCCATAATTGGATTTGTTGCTCGTATTTACCAATCAAAAAAACAGATGAACCACAAGAATCCTGACCAAAACCAACTGAGGAGGAAAAAACAAGAAAATATGTGTATTTTCAGTTTTCCTTTCCATTTTGGAATGTAAAAGGTGAATTTCTTCTCATAAATAGCCCCCAGTCATATGTCTGTGGTCGTCCTCATGATGATCAAGACTTTAAATGGATCAATAAGATGTCTTTAATGAATAGATGTTAATTTTCCTAAACCAGATGATATAATAAATAATAAGATTGTGTCTTTTAATATGAGCTTAGATACAGCCTCACAACACTGTTTATTAGTTTATTTCCCTCTAATTGTTGGCTGGTTTGTCCTGTTTGGTTTATCTTGTTTAGTTTAACAAATAATCTTAATAAATATGCTTTAGTTTTTACAGATCCACCCATGCAGACATGTTATTATGGCTTGTATGTGGTGCTTTATCTTTTCAAATCAATTAAATCAAGTTGATTGTCATTTTGCTGTACATACACAGTAGTACAGGCGAGATGAGAGAGCGTTTCTCCAGGATCCAATAACTTAAAATAATTTAAATAAACAAGTGTTTGACTATGTAGATCAGTAGTTCAGCATTCTGACAGCTTGTGGAATGAAGCTGTCGATCAGTCTGGAGGTTCTTCCTTTAATGCACCGGAAACGTTCGCCTGATGGCAGCAGTTCAAACAGTTTATGGAGAGGGTGTGAGGAGCCCCTGACAATGTCCAGTGCTCTGCTCCTGCAGCGGATCTGGAAAAGTTCTTGGACAGAGGTGAGGAAAACTCTGATGACCGTCTCAGCTCCTCTAACTATCCTCTGCAGGGCTTTTCTGTCTGACATGCTGCAGCTGGAGCATCATGTTGAGATGCAGTACGTCAGAATGCCGCAGATATGTCTGTTGGTGTTATATTAAAGTTTGCTTCTTTTTTGGCCTTTGTGCCTTTATCTGACAGTGCAGTGAGAGAGAGACAGGAAAGTGGGGGAGAAGAATGGGGGGAGGACGTGTGGGGAAAGGGTCATGAGCGGGATTCGAACCCATGACCTCCATATCGGGACTGTAGCCCTGTACATGAGACGCCAGCTCAACCCAGTGAGCTAACGTTTGCTTTTATAGTGTTTGATGTAATGTGGAACACTAGCTGTGCTTTTATCGTAATCCGTATTAAAAAATTAGGGGGTTGAAGTTGATGCACTTTTCTGCGGGAAAACCTATTTTTATGTCCAAACTTAGACAAAGCTTCACTGTAAACTTTTGTGATCTCTTATCCTTTGGTAAATAACTCAACAGTGAAGTAAAATTTAGGAAAACATCTCGAACACTGAGTGAAAACAAGTCGCTGTTGATGGGTAAAGTTAACTCTGCGTTGTTGGTGCTATATGGATCCAAAGTGAGTCACTTTTTGAATCTGTTATTTTTAGAATAAAAGCATTGCTGTAATGGACTATGACTTGTAGATGTTATTATATACATAGATATCAAGATGAATAGTTGTGATTTAAATGTTTGCACCATAATTAGGTGCAATCAGCAAACTGACTGCTTCATGTAGCACTAAGTCACCTGCTTCTTTCTCCGTGTTTACCATGATGTCTGCGAGTAAGAGTGATGACTCAGACAGTCCCAGTGGCCTGAATATTTATGAGGTTATATTGAGTAAAGATCACAGTGGATGGTCACGGACTAATTTTGGAGTTTAGCATCATTAAATTAACATTATAAAATCTTCCCTTGAGTTACACTAGGAAATAGGAAAAGGGTTTGTTTGTTGCTGCTGAGGGCACAAGAGCCGGAAACGAGAATTAAATACTCAGGAGTTATTTCTGGTTGCGTGTAATTATCGGTGGGTGAGAGGTGGCGTGACATGGTACAGGGTTTGGCTTTTCCACAATGGATAATACTGCATGCTTTTAAAATACAACACCTTATTAAAGATTAAAGCAGCGGTTTTCAACCTTTGTGGCTTCTGACGTCTCAGAAAAAACAACATGTAGTCGGGTTCACATTTCAGATGTCTAACAGCTTCACCAAACAGCGATTTTCCTCTCTGAACTCCTAACATGGCTTCATTTTAAGAAATATTAGAGAAAAAGTCCAAAAACTGAAAACAGATTCAGTGTTGTTATATCCTCTTTCGTTCTCCATTCATCTTGTTATGACCTCTATGATTTATCTGTTGCCCCGTTAGATAAAACTATATGAAGTAGCTCAAAGTAGCTCCACCTGCAGCAGCTACAACAGTAACCTGCTGCTGACACACTGATGCTTCACTATTAATCTAATGATGACACACACAAAAGTATGTCAAAGAACTTTTACTTTAATACTTTTTACATACAGCTGAAACCAGAAGTTTGCATCCACTCTATAAAAACGCACATAACCTTTTAATTTTCACTGTCTGACATCAAAACAAACTAAACTTTTCCTGTTTTAGGTCAGTTAGCATCACCAAAATTATTTCTATTTGCTAAATGCCACAATAATGAGAGACATTTTTTGTATTTCTTTCTCCAAAGTCAGAAGTTTACATACATTTCTTTAGTATTTGGTAGCGTTGCCTTTAAACTGTATGACTTGGGTCAAATGTTTTGGGTTTCCTTCCACAAGCTTCTCACAATAGTTTGATGAATTCTGGCCCATTCCTCCTGACAGAACTGGTGGAACTGAGTCAGGTTTGCAGGCTGTCTTTTCAGCTCTGCCCACAAATATTCTCCAGGAGTGAGATCAGGGCTTTGTGATGGTTGCTCCAAAACATTAACTTTGTTGTCCTCAAGCCACTTTGTACCTAATCTGGCGGTGTGCTGAGGGTCGTTGTCCATTTGAAGACCCATTTGCGCCCAAGCTTTAACTTCTTGGCTGATGTCTTGATATGCTGCATCAATTTTTCCACATCATGTTCTTTCCTCATGATGCCATCTATTTTGTGAAGTGCACCAGTCCCTCCTGCAGCAAAACAACCCCACAACATGATGCTGCCACCCCTGTGCTTCACAGTTGGGGTGGTGTTCTCAGGCTTACAAGTTTCCCCCTTTTTCCTCCAAATGTAACGATGGTCATTTAGGCCAAACAGTTCAAATTTAGTTTCGTCAGACCACAGGACATGTCTCCAAAATATGAAGGTCTTTGTCCCTGTGTGCCTTTTCAAACTATAATCTGGCTTTTGGAGTAATGTCTTCTTCCTCTCTGAGTATCCTTTCAGTCCATGTCGGTACAGGACTGGTTTCACTGTGGACAATGACTCTCTCTTACCAGCTTACTTACGGGGTTAGTTTTTCATGCTCACAGTGATTTTAAAATTGTATTCCATTCATCTAAGATTGATTTTATTGTTTAAAATGCACAATATTAAAATTTCTGGCCGATACCAATATCCGATATTAAGATTTCTAATATCGCCGATAACCGATATTACCGATGTCGATATTCAATTTTTGTTCACATCAAAAAATGAGTATAAGTAAGCACTGTGAGAACGTGAAAACTATTCAAAAGAAGCCCATACCTCATTAGACCACATAGTCGTCTTTATTATGTAACAATAGTTAAACACATTTTAACATATGTAACGTTCAAGTCCAGGACCATTTAAATAAAAACATCTGTGAAATAGCAGCAAATGTAGAGATGAAGGCACTAATGTTAGACAATCATCGGTTTTTCACATCGGTTAAATGTGTTCATCGGACCGATACCGATATATGTAAATAACCGCCAATATTGGCCAATACTGATGCGATCGCCGATATATCGTGCATCCCTTTTCATTTTGTGTTAGTTTTACATCCCATCTTAACCAGTACTGGTGTCTTGTGTAGAGCAGAGCTGTGGAGTTGCTGAGAGATGCTGCTTGGCTTTCATGTTCCAAAACTCTGGAAGTTAGGTCCATTTAATATCAGAGTCTGAATGAGCCTGAGGACTGACTGAGCCTGACAGCTGTCCACAACAATCTGCACATGGTGTCTGAATGCTTCCACAGGGGGGCGGAGGCTGATCCTCATGATGGCTTCTTGTCTACGGCCCTGGATTGTGCGTGCGTGTGTGTGTGTGCGTGTGTGCGTGTGTGTGTGTGTGTGTGTGTTTGCAGCGGCTCTTAAGCACCTCGGACAGCGCCATGCGGCACAGACGCACATCTGCAAGCAGAGGAACTTCATCCGTGCGCAAAGGCAGCCTCTTCCCTCCTCCTCCAGTTTTTCAGGAGTTGTTTTTTTGTTTTTTTTAGTCTCTTCTGCAACTTCCCTCTCGCCTCACCCTTTCTCCTTGGACTTACTTGCTCGGATAACCTCTCTTTCCCAGCCGGGGATGAAGCGGTAGATCCGCGCCGCCCTCGGAGCACCGAGACGCGGGACTCCTCTCCGTCTCTCTCTCTCTGTCGCCGCCTCCTCCTGCTGGAGCTGGAGAGATGCCCGGGGCAGGATGTGCTCCAGCCGCAAGATCCTGTGGAGCCTGCTCCTGCTGTCCTTGGTGGAGGTGGGCCTGGGTGTGGCGAGCATCGTCCTGGGAGCCGTGGGCATCAGCTGGGTCCGGGGCGAGCGCAAGCCGCAGCAGGGCGACGCGTCTCCGGTGTGGAGTGGACTCTGTGTACGTCCTGGGAGCAACTCTTGTCCTTTACTTCTCTCTTTTAAAAAAAAACAAACTCTTGTTTACTTCCAGAGAGGATGAGTATCAGTCTGTAGGGATGGTGTGGAGACACAGTTTCAACTCAGGCAAACTATTTGAGACACATTTAGACTTGCAGGTGTTGAAATGAAAATAAGTAAGGTTGATTCAACTTTGATGTAAGCTCAGTTAATTTATTATCTCCAGTGACTTACATGGAGTTATAATACACCTCTTTGTGATCATAAAGGAGTTCATTGCTAAGATAATCATGGGGGTTCTGTTTTAAAGCCATCTAAGACAGTGTAACTTT